GTTATCCCCATATTTTTCTTTTTTTTTTTAATTTCAGCATATTACAGGAGTACAAATGTTTAGGTTACATATATTGCCTTTGCCCCGCCCAAGTCAGAGCTTCAAGCATGTCCATCCCCCAGATGGTGCACACCACACCCATTAGGTGTGAATATACCCATCCCTGAAAGATATGTTTTTATTTCTCAATATCTACCTAATAGGACAAATCTAGTCATGTCACATGCTCTCATGCCTACCCAATCAACATATTTCTGGGATTTGATATGAAAGCAATGGTGGATCATAATGTCTCATTGTTTTATGCTCTTCTTGACTTCCTTCATTCTTAGGCTATATCAACTGTCCAAAGCTGGGAAGCTGTGTGTTCCAGCCATGAATGTCAATGACTCAGTCACCAAACAGAAATTTGACAACCTCTACTGCTGCCGTGAATCAATTCTTGATGGGTAATGTTTATTATCTTTGAGATGAATTTGAGTTGTTGAGTTGAGGTTCTGATTTTTCTTGGTTTTGCTTATTTCTGGAAATAATTCATGTAGCACCTCTGGATAATGTTTCCATTAAGCCAGAGCTTTGTCACTTCATAAATTAAAATTACATTATTTTTATTTTCTTCTTTGTATCTTTTATTTCCAAGTATTATATATTCAGAACATTATATAATAAATGTATGTTGTTTTATGTTCAAAAGTTACTGTGTAATCTGCATCTTCCTCCCTTCTGCACCACTCCAAGAAAAGGGGAAAAAAGGAAAAAAAATCACATATATAGAACTAATTGGATGGCAAGGAGTGAGAAAATATGTATTTTATTCAACCTTTCTTTCTGGTCATTAAATAGTTTCTCTAGGATGGAAAGCAGGCTTTATTTCAAAATGAAAAACAAACCAAAAAAACCCCATGAAAACAAAAGGACTTAATACAAATGTCAAGGGAGAAACCAGAGAAGATTTTTCTGATTTAATGTTTTTTTCCCTTAGTCTTAAAAGGACAACAGATATGATGTTTGGTGGAAAGCAAGTGGTGGTCTGTGGCTATGGAGAGGTAAAGTTTAACCTTTCATATATTAGTTGTTTAAAATGTATTTTGCTGAGATATTCCAGAATTTTTCATTTGTATGGACATAAGAGTACATTCATTACCACTTTAGAACCAGAAGTAACTTTGGAGGCCCTCTGGTTAAAGTATAGTCTTTCTTTTACCTTTGCATTTTTGCCATTTTTCGTTAAGTTGATTTTCTGACTTACTCCAGTACCACCGTTTGTGATGTTCTTTTAGCTTTGTGTTTTGATTATAAATCGTGAGTGTGGGTGTTCTTATGCACATGAATGTGATAAGCAGGAGCCAGGGGTTTGTTTAGGAACTGCATTCATTTGTTTTTCTTGTTTTTCCCTGAGCATGAATCTATTCAGTGAAATTCCTTTTGGGGGCGGAAAGGGAGGTGCTCTGTACCAGAAGCTTTGGGAAACTGTTTTCTTTTTGACTCTCCCTCATGTATGTGTTCTGTCCCCTCGTTAGGTGGGGAAGGGGTGCTGTGCTGCCCTGAAAGCCATGGGCTCCATTGTGTATGTAACTGAGATTGACCCCATCTGCGCCCTGCAAGCCTGGTAAGCATGCAAAGGGAGAATTGCTTCCTCCTGTACACTGCCATCTGACGTGTGATCTTGGAGCTGCTCCAAAGAATGACCTGGTTAATGCTGCATCTTATCTTAGAGGGGCCCAGATCCTCAGAGACGCTGCCACTAGGTCTAAGTTTCTCTTTCAAAGGTCAAGGAGCTCTGCTCTGAGAGAGCAGAGACTATCAGAAAAGCTAAAATTTAGAATTCCTGTGGAAATAGTAACAGGGGATGCTTTGAGCGAGAGAACAAGTAGCTCCTTACCGTCTCTGTATGTAATCCCTGCCTCTTTGAAAACAATGATTGAAAAAGAAATAGGCTGGCATTGGATGTCTTCTGATGTGATGTACTGAAAAGAACCTTTCTGTGGTATTCCTCCCCAAAATGTATAACCTGAATCTTTTTCTTTTGAGACAGAGTCTCACTCTGTTGCCTGGGCTAGAGTGCCGTGGCATCAGCCTAGCTCGCGGTAACCTCAAACTCCTGGGCTCAAGTGATCCTCCTGCCTCAGCCTCCCAAGTAGCTGGGACTGCAGGCGTGCACCACCACACCCAGCTAATTTTTTTTTCTATATTTAGTTGCCCAGTTAATTTTTTCTGTTTTTGGTAGAGACAGGGTCTGGCTCTTGTTCAGGCTGGTCTCGAACTCCTGACCTCAGGCTATCCTCCTGCCTCAGCCTCCCAGAGTGCTAGGATTACAGGCATGAACCACCATACTCAGCCTGTAACCTGAATCTAATTGTGAGGAAACATCAGACAAGTCTAAATTAAGGGCAGAATCTGCTAAATCTGACTGAAGGATATATGAGAATTGTTTATACGATTCTTATAATTCTTAAGTTTGAAATTATTCTAAAATTTAAAAATTTGAAAAAAGAA